TCCCATTCAGCTCTCCATTGGCCTAGTCCTCTCTCTAGCCTTCTCCTCCCTGTTCCACCCTACACAAGCTCCACCCCACACAAGCTCCACCCTATACAAGTTCCACCCTAGACACAGCTGCCAGTAATCCGTTATCCCTATTTTCAAATCCCAGCTGCCATTCCTTGAGCTCCCAGCAAAATCAATATTCTCACATCCACATAAGACATTTATCTTGTTGGTACCTATCCTTTTCTCTTGGGGCCACAGAGGTTTCATGCACAGAGTGACCCATAGCCTTCAACCTGATGCTGGTCCCTGTGATCTGCCTGACAAGCACAGAGCCCTGGGTGGAGCTGCCCTGCTCTTCCCTCAGGGAGCATATGTATGCAATTAGTTGTGCTGGGTGTGGGTAGCAGCTGAGGGCACCACTAGCAATGCGTGCATCCTGTATTGAAGTGCCTGCTGTGGTCCCAGCATCTTCACTCTTCTCCTTCCTGCCCACTGGTCTCTGGGGAGGCAGCGGTTGGTGGCCCAAGTGCCTGGGTCCCTGCCTCTCTTGTTGGGAGAGACCCACATGGAGTTCAGGACTCCTGGCCTGAGCAAGGAGCGTTCACAGCTATTACAGGCCTTGGGAGAGCGATCCAATGCATGCAAGATCTCTCTATGTTTGTCTCCCTGTCTTCCAAATAGTCATATACTCATTTATATGCACACGTATGTGTAACTAATGTGTATATATAAACACTCTATACATATATTGTTTACATTATAAATATATAACATGAAATATTTATAAATATAATATATATACACACACATTAATATTTTATAGCTACAAGGCTGAGAGACTCAACGCAACTACTAGCTGCCCTGCTCAGGGCTTGAGGCTGAAAGACAACTGAATCCTGGCTCCCTAGGGTTCTTTGGCCCAAGCCCTTTGCCTCCGAAGACAATGCTAAGAAACCATGGTTTAGGTCCCCGGAAATTGTCTACCGCTAATGTCCTCGTCTTGCACCCCAAGGAATCCCATATGGGTGCCCATTCTAAACCTGGTGGCCCTGCTTCCCATCCAGCTCTCTACTTGTGGCCTGGGAAATCAGTGGAGGGCGGTCCAAAGTCTTGGGACCCTACCGCCACGTCGGAGACAAGGACAAAGCTCCTCTCTCCTGGTTTGGGATCGGCTCAGCTCTGGCCGGAGTGGCCATTTCAAGTAGTAACCCAGTGGGTGGATGGTGCTTCTCTCTCTAACTCTTCCTTCTGAAAATCTGCCTTTCCAGTAAAATCAATACTAAGAAAAAAAAAAACTTTTGAAACAGAAAAACAAACTTACCACTTGTATAAGAAATGTGACAAAAACTGCATTTGGCTAGCGGATGTGGATAGGATAGGGAGGAATGAACTCAACAAAAGTAAAAATGAAAGAAAGAAAATGCAAAAGATTTAGAGGGGTTTGAGCATGAAGCAATGCCTAGCAGCTGACTCATGTTACCCTCCCAGTGGGACTGTGGTCACCTGACTAGAATGGACAGAGTCCCAACGAGGAAATGGCAAGGAGCAGCAAGGTCGGCCCAGCTGTGTGGGCATTTGAGGAGTGAAGGAGTGGTTGGAAAAGTGCCTGCTCTCTGTCTCCCTTCTCCTCTCGTTTTCTCCATGTTTTTCAGTAGCAATCATTTTTCAAAATGTATTCTTATTTAAAAGACTGAGTATAGAGAGAAGAAGAGACAGAGAAATCTTCCATCTGCTGGTTCACTCCCTAAATGGCCTAAACAGCTAAGCTGAAGCCAGGAAGCAGGAGCCTCCTCAGGACTTCCTCATGGGTGCAGGGGTTGAAGCACTTGAACCATCCTCCACTGCTTTCCTAGGCTACAAGCAGGGAGCTGGATGGGAAGTGGAGCAGCTAGCACTCAAGCTGGTGCGCATCTGGGATGCTGCAGCAAAGGTAGAAACTTAGCCAACCACACCACAGGGCTGCCTGATAACGGATATTATTAAAAGAAAATAAATAAAAGGAAAGTTGAAAAAAAACAGTCATTAAGAGAGGGAAAAGAAGCAGAGTGCCATAAGATTAAAGACAATAAGGACCGAAAGAACATTTTTGTCAGTGTTCAATTTTTGTTTTTTTACAAAAGATCTATTCATTGGAAGTTAGAGTTACAGAGAAGAAAAGACAAGATAAGGAACCTTCCTTCTGCTGGTCCAGTCTGAATGGCCACAGCAGCCAGGATGCTGACAGCACAGGCAGCAGCTTGACCCACTGTGGCAGAGTTGGCTCCTAACAGTGTTAATCTTCATATTCATTGGCAATGTGTTTTATCAAAGAAATGAATTGCCTCAGAATTCAAGACACACAGATACCCTCAGAGACTTAGGCAAAAAATAAATAAACAAAAGATGAAACTGAAAATGTAAAAAAAGTGTCTACAGTCAATGTGGATGAGAACTAAAGAAAGGTGTAAGACTGAAAAAAAGATGCGTAAACTGAGTTGACTGAGTTTCCTGGGAGATGATGCCCAGTATCTTTAGTTTGTATGTCAACTGATGAAGTTCTGGAGTATTTCACATGTCCCACAGTGGGGCGTTCTGAATGCACTGCTACAGTGGAACCCTCAGCGCCCAGCCTAACTCCTCCCTCTAGGCTCCCGAGTGCTTCTCAGTGTCCAGTATCTCCTTCCCTCCAAGGACAAAAATCTGACAACCCTGCCTGCTTTGAGAACTAAAGGATGATACTGCTTAGAACAATGCCCTGCAAATCTCAGAGCTTGATAATGTCAGCTATTGTTGTGCCATTCCTAAGAACTGTGTGAAATGGTCTCTTGTCTAAACTGGCTTCCCACACAGATGACACTACAATGATTGATTAGAGCCTGGAACCCAAACTGAAGGTTGAGTAACGTCACTAATAAGTTTGTAAAGCACCATAGGCCAGACGTGGCTCTGTTGCTTTTCATAATCCATCCCAAATCCCTGGGATAGAATCTGGTTAGGAACTAACCAGAGATCAGTTAAGTCATTGGTCTCGGCTAACACGAATAGCAGTGGCCTGGCTGGGACTAAGATCCAGGCATCTGTTATACACATGTTGTATGCAACGTCTGTTCTGCATACTTCAAACTTGTCTCAGAGAACATGGCATAATTAGTAGTGAGGACATCACCTCTTTCATTACTGGTCTCACTTCGCAATTTTCATCTCCTTAAACGAAAGTAATTTTTACTTACAGGCAATAATTGGGAACTGGTGCAATGGTTCAGTGATGCAATGGTTTAGTGACTAAATCCTTGCCTTGAATGTGCTGGATCCCATATGGGTGTGGGTCTCGGCTACTCTGCTTCCCATCCAGTCCCCTGCTTGTGGCTTGGGGGTGTGGGAGGGGTGGGAGGAAGCTGAGAATGGAGGATGGTCAAAGCCTTGGGACCCTGCGCCTGCGTGGGAGACCTCGAAGAAGTTCCTGGTTTCTACCTCCAGATTGGCTCAGCTTTGGCCATTGCAGCCACTTGGGGAGTGAACCAGCAGATGGAAGATCTTTCTCTTTGTATCTCCTTCTTTCTGTAAATCTACCTTTTCAAAAAAATTTAAAAAAAAATACATGCAATAATTGTACATTCATCTAGGCCAAAATGTCATATATATATTTGAAAGATAGTCACACATATTTTTCTGTTTACTGGTTCACACCCTAATGGCTACAATAACTGGGTTTGGGTGGAGCTGATAGGATTGAAACCAACGCTTCCTAACATCGTAAACTTGTGTCCTGTGTGAATTCTTGCTCTCTCTGCAACAAATACATGTATCAGTTACATATACATTTCCAAATACATGTATAGATTATGCATAGGGTTCCAAAATTACATCAGAATTAATGTAGCTGCTATTTCCGTTGTCTTTCTAAGGTTCCCTCCTTTAATGGGTACTGGTCACATCAAGGAAGAAAGTCGAGGACAAAATGCCATCACTGAAGAATTTTTTGGGAAGATTTGTTTATTGTTATTAGAAAGACAGATTTAAAGAGAGAGAGAGAGATTACAGTTCACTGGTTCACCACGCAAGTGGCCCCAACGGACAGAGCTGGATTGAGCTGGCCATGAGCCAGGAGCCTCTTTCATGTCTCTCACATGGGGTGCAGGGTCTCAAGGCTTTGGGCCATCCTCTACTGCTTTCCCAGGCCATAGGCAGGGTGATTGATAGGAAGTGGAACATCTGGGACATGAATTGGCACCCATAAGGGATCCTGGTGCAAGGTGAGGTTTCGCCTCTGGGCTACCGTTCTGGACCATATTCAGAGCAGTAAGCAAGAGCCAACTCCAATCTTCCCCAACTATTCCAAAGTACTGAAACGAAGTGAATGTCCCCAGACTCCTTCAAGGAGACCAGACTTGCCCTCGTACTCAAACTAGACAAGAAAACCAAACAAAAATAACAAAACTACAAACCTGTGCTGAACACAGATGAAAGCAATTATGACATAGTACCACCAAATCTTACAGCACATCAAAAAGATCATTTATTATGGTCAAGGTGAATTTAATCACGGGTGCAAGGATGGCTCAACACACTCCTTTTTCTTTTGAAAAAAATTTTTTTTTTTTTGTTTGAAAGGCGGAGTTACCTGGAGAGTTAGTGAACACACGGACTTTCAAGGAGGAGACAAGATAACGACTAGCCCACCTGGCCTGACAGGCTGGACAAAGCTCCTCACTGCAGCCAGCCCTGCAGCGACCAGCATAGAATCTTCTGCCGTTACCCTGCCCAGGGCCAGAGGAGCGGCCGCCCAGGGCCAGAGGAGCGGCCGCCCAGGGCCCGCCTCCGGCCCGCCCTCTCGTCCTGGGTTCAACCGATCAGAGCCCAGCCAGGCTGGCCGCCGCCGCCGGGAAAGGAGCTGCATGCACTATGGCCAGGGCAGCGGGCGACGCGGCCCACTTCCAGAGGAGCAGCCTATTCTGGGTCGTGGTCATCACGCTCTCCTTTGGCTATTACACGGTAGGGGCAGCGGCCTGGAGGCGCAGCGGCCTGGAGGGGCAGCCTGAGCCTGGGCCCAGCGCGGCCAGCATCCCGGCGGAAGGGCTGCGCAGGCGCAGGCCCGGCTCGCCGGCGCTGGAGCGAGGCCGCGGCAGCGTGAACCCCGACCGCAGGCGCAGGCGCACTTCCCCGCCATGGCGTTGGGCAGGTGTTGGAGACCCTGCGAAACCGGTTGGCCTGGCTTTTCTCGTGTTGAGGCGGGGACGGCTCCTCGCCTGACGGCTGGGAGCCTGGGGGTTTCAGAATGGTGGTGGCGAAGTCTGAGACCAGAAGGGACGCTTCCGCCTACTTCCGGACAGCCAGGCCCGTGCCCTCGCTCATCACAGGCCTAGGACTGGGATTCTTCGCGGTGAGGCATTGGGGCAGCGGGCGCACCAGTTTTGGTCCTCTGGGTTCTCGTAGGACAGCGCCTGCCGCTGTGCTAGGTTAACTGGTTTCTTAGATTTGTGTGTAAGAGGGGTCCTTCCCTGACTTGACCTCAGCAGTTCATGGTGGGAATGTCAAGGATAGCGCTTCCAAGGCAGGTGCAGTTGCCTGAAAAAATCGGCGGTAAAGCCAAGCATGGTTATGGTATAGCTGGTGACGGGGAGTATAGAAAACAGCAGTCCTGAGAGCGAGAGTGACTTTTGTACAGCTGAGAAAAAGTTTGTTTTAAGGATAACAAACAGGGCAGATGCCCGGACATTGGTTGAGAAGTGACCTATTGAATTAATAAGGAAGGCACAACCACTTGGATACTTCGTAGCAGGTTGTAGAATCGGGAGCTTGGTTGTTTCCACAGTGTTATTTACTGGCCTCCCTTCTGCTCACCTCCACCCTTGTTTCTTCACTTGGAAAGTGGAGGCGTTGAACTCTGGACATTTTCGAAAGAGCATTTCTGTTCCAGGATTCTAACGAGTTTGAATATAGATGATGGGAAACTGAAAATTCAAGTTGGGATTCAGAGGAACTGGCAGATGCCCCCAGCCCTCGTTCCACTTGGTTTTTGTTTGTTTGGTTGGTTGGCTGGATTTTTTTAGATGCAGTGGTATTTAATACTTTATTTGAATGTGAACCATCCCACACTATCTTGGGGGAAGTAGATTTGCTCTTGACCGAGATCTAAGTGGATCACTAAGTTTTGGAGCTTAAATAATTATTCACAGAAATGCTTGTAAAAGAAAAAGGAGACGTTGTTATAATTATGGCAAAAACATTACATGATTAGCAATTATTCTTAAGGTTTGTGTGTTTTTTATTAGAAAGGCAGATTTACAGAGAGGAGAGACAGAGAGAGAACTTCCATCCACTGGTTCATTGCCCAAAAGGCTGAAACAGCCAGAGCTGAGCTGATTCAAAACCAGGAACCAGGAGCTTCTTGGTCTCCCACATGGGTGCAGTGGTCCCAAGACTTGAGCTGTTCTCCACTGCTTCCCCAGGCCACAAGCAAGGAGTTAGATGGGAAGTGGAGCAGCTGGGACACAAACTGGCACCCATTATGGTATGCTGTCACTTGTAGGTGGAAAATTAGCCAATTGAGCCATTGCATCAACCCTTAGCAATTACTGTTAGAACTTCACAAGTCTGAATCACTGTGTCTGTGTAGTGTGTCACCAGTTTTAGAGTGAAAGTAGAGAATATGATTCTAAACAAGAGGTACAGCCCAAACCCACAGTCCCTGTAGTACAGGACCTGGCAAGAGCATGTAAATTCTTAAACATGAACTTTAGGAGAGGCTGTTTTGGATGAAGTTCATTAAAAATGGGAGTCATTCACCCTGGGCATTGAATTTGGCAATCACACGGTTTTTCCAGCATAAATTTCCATTTGAGTCCACGTGGCTTTGCTCAGAGCTGCTTTGGCCTGTACTTCATTTGGCAGCACTCATGTTACTTGACTCCCTCTCCAAAACAAGAGCTTGCTGACTGTCCGGTGACCTAACAGGTACGCTGCACCTCTGGTTCTCTTGCAGTGGGTTGTCTTCTGGCCTCAGAGTGTCCCCTACCAGAGCCTTGGGCTCCTGGGCTCCTTCACGCAGCACCTGGTGGACCATTATCCCACACTCCTGCACAATGGGTAAGGAGAGTGACAGAAATGAAATGTGGGCCCCATGACTCTGGAGGCCTGCAGGTGCCTGTAGCTCTTTAACAATGGGGCTACGTCCCCCGAAGCCGTGTTTCCATTTGAGATTTTTGTGTTAGATTCATCATCAGATACACCCCTTAAATAGACTGACCTTTTTTTTTAAAAAAGTGTTTTGGTTTGGGTAGAATTCTTTTCATTCACTGATTCACAATTCTTTCATCCAGTTGACTCCCAAAGGCTGGCAAGAAACCAAGTACTTGAGCCATCACTTGCTAATGTCCAGGGAGTACCTTAGCAGGGAGTTGAATCGGAAGTAGAGTGGCCAGGAGTGGAAGAAGGCATGGGTGGCTCAGGTTAAGTCCCAATAGGCAGCTTCACCATTGTTCCACGACAATGCGCTGACTTGTTGTTGTTTCAGGTATTGGCTTGCCTGGCTGGTTCACGTGGCAGAGTCTGTGTACGCCATGGTGCTGTGCAAGTAAGTCTTTGTTCAGATCTTGCTTGACATCTGGTGGAAGTCGAGAGCAACCACATTCAAACACTTGTGGGCCTCAGGATAGTGCTGAGGACCCAGGCCTGATACTGAACCTGACCCTGAAGAAGAACTTGGTAAATAGTTGATGAGTGAATTCGTTAGCTTATTCTAGTTATCAATTATTTAAGCCATTCACTGAGTTGGCTTGCTTGGTTGGTTGGTTTTGCCTATGTGGCACCAACTAAAGCAAAAGCTTAGAAGTCTGCCTTCTAGTTTGATGAAAAGCTTTACTCTTCACCTGGGCCAATGATCGGCAGCCCTGACTTGACGTTGAATCACCCAAGGAACTGCTCTCACATGCATGTGTCAGCTTTCCAACTCCAGGGAATTGAATGTTGCTGCTGACCTAGGAGTACATTCTTTTGTAAAACTAGCAAACTGACCCTACCCAGCAGATGCTCCTGTAGGTTAACACTGTGTGAGAGCATTGAAAAGGATTCTGTATACACTTGAACTTGATATATGCATACACAGAAAGCATGGTGCAATGAAAAAAGATGGTTATAATAATGCCAAATTGTTCTGTAAATACCTTTTTTTTTTTTTTTGCTTAGAGGTTAACTGTCACCTGTATAACTGTTGCAGTTCTTATAAATGTGGAAGATCAAATCCTTTATTATTGCTCTTTAATAATAAAAATAATGCTGATGGGATGCATAGAGTGTCAGACACTGCTAAAAGGGTAACTTGTTGATGTTACTGTGTACTCTTATTTATTAAGCAAAGTGGATTTTCCAGAGGGAAGCAGAAGGCAATTTTAGACTTTTTCCCCCTCTGTGCAAATGAGTTCACCCTGTGGGTTGTTCCCTGCCTGCTCCTCTTACTGCAGATAAAACTTCCATCAGATGTATAGATTTTCCCGGTCATTATCTGGAAGTATGAAGGTATGAAGTCCCATTATTAAATTCATAAATTTTGTTCTAAAATCACAACATCTGGTCTCAGCCCCAGGGACCATGGAGCCTGATTTGGGGAGAGGGTGCAGTTGGTGCCTTTTCTCTCAGTCCACTTCTCTTCTCTATGCACCTGTGACAACTGCTGTTGGACCCTTTGGAAGGGTAGGGGTAGTGAGGGGACCCAGGTGGTACGTGTGGTGCAGAGGCCGTGCTGGCTGCTCTATCCGGGAGGTCTTTGAGACCATCGTCAGCAGGATCCTCCTGCAGCTCTCCTGTTTCCTTCTGGTGCCTCCTACAGCATGCCTCTTACCGCTTATCCATGACAGTGTGTTGGGGGGACATTACCTTCTTGTGAGGTTCCCTTTCCGTTAGGTCCTGCACAGCTCACAGCCTGCAGCCTGCTGTGCCTCCAGTGGGCTCACCCCTAAGCACAGTGCTCAGTGTTGCTGTGTTTCTTTACTCTGTTTCCCAGCAGGTGAACCCCTCTTTACACTCTTGAATGAGCTAGGAATCCTTTCCCCATGTTGCAAGGGAATGTTCAGGTGGCTTTGTTGAAACTCTTTTCTGGGCCTGGCTTGTAGGGAATGCTAGAGTGTTCTGGGACTTCTCTCCCATGGCCACTTGGTGGAGTAAGATAGGGGGTGTCTGGTCCAGCCACTCAGCTTGGCAAACTATTGTTGCTGGCATCTGGGGCCTCATGAAAACCAAAATAAACTCAGTTCTGTTATACAGATCTTTGGAGGAGGAGAACTAGCCAGGGAGGTTGGGTTTCTATTGTTTCTTCAAATCAGTTCTTTAAGGTCCGGCATATTAGCCTGTCATAGGTCACTATACATCAGAATTAATACTCCTTTGGAATTGTGAAGCCAGTGAAAGACTAATACATTTGAATCAGTGAATAGAAGAAAACATGGCACATTTTCAGCTTTGCATATCTTAAAACTTAGGAAAAATTGCCTGCAACATTTTGTTTGCTGAATTCTCCTCCTACCTTCCTTTTAAAATAAATTTTTTCATTTGAAAGGCAGAGTTAGAGAGAGGAGAAGAAAGGGAGATACCTTCCATCTGCTGGTTCACTTCCCCAATGACCACAATACTCAAAGCTGCACCAGGCAGGAGTCAGGAGCTTCTTGTGGGTCTCCCAGGTGGGTGCTGGGGCCAAAGCACTTGGCCCATCTTGTGCTGCTTTCTGAGCTCGTTAGTTGAGAGCTGGATCAGAAGTGGAGCAGCAAGGGCTTGAACCAGCATCCACATGAGATGTCAGCATTGAAGAATTCCTTTCTTAATGCATAGATGTTAATTTTAACTCAGTAGTCAAAATGTATAAAACAATGTTCTGTACCTTACATAATACAGAAATTACCTTGGAGAGGGCAAGGAGCTTACATTTTCTATCCACCTTCCAGGTGCAAGTCCCTAAACAGTAATTCAAGGACAATTCAAGAGAGTCTCTTAAACCCTACATTTTCAAAGTACATACTTTTAGGGGAGTGTGTTCCTTTTTAATTAGAGATAAGAGTGGGCCATGTGTTTAACTTCATATCTGCCATGATCGTGATATTAAGCACATTCCTGTGTTTTAAAGGAACCTTGGGAGCAGGCATTTGGCCTTGGCAATTGAGGTGCTACTTTGAACAGCCCCATCCCGTGTGAGAGAGCCTGGTTCTAAATCCTGGCTCTGGTCTCAATTCCAGCCTGCTGTCCATCTGGGAGGCCACAGATGCCAGCTTGAGTCTATGGGTGCCCAAGTCCTCAGCTCCTTGCAGCAGGCTGGCTACTGCTGGCTGTTGGCATTTGGAGGGTGATCCAGTAGTGTTTATTTTTTTTTCTCCGCTTTTGTGCCATCTTTCAAATAATGTACTTTTAGAAAGTTTGGGTGAAGGTTTGGTGCAATGGCTCAGTAGCTAAATCCGCACATTGTGTGCGCTGGTATCTCAAATGCCTGCTCCACTTGCTATCCATTTCCCTGCTTGTGTCCTGGGAAAGCTGTTGAGGATGGCCCAAAGTCTTGGGACTCTGCACCAACGTGAGAGACCTGGAAGAGGCTCCTGGCTGTGGATTGGCTCACCTCTGGCTATTGCAGCCACTTGAGGATTGAACCAGAGAATAAAAAACCCTTTTTCTATCTTCTCTGTATAAATCTCTTTCCAACAAAAATTAAAATAAATCTTTAATTAAAAAAATATTGGTGAATAGTTTTATATTTTGATATTTTGCATATCATTCCTCTAGTTATATATTCTATAATTTACTTAACTCACAGTGAATTTTTAAAAAACATTTAAATCTTTTTTCTTAGTAGTTTTATTTAATAGAGTTCCACTCTGTTCACTCACTCTCCCAGTGTCCTCACTGCCTGGGGCTGAGCCAGATCCACAGTCAGGAGTCAGGAATGCCGTCCAGGCCTGTCACAAGGCGGAAACCCTAGTGCTTCAGCAATCTCTGAGATGGGGAGGCAGATGTCTTAATCATTAGGGAGAAAGTCCACATCCTAAGTCTTTGATCTTTAATCTACCTGCAACTAACTGCCTTCCTCTAAGAGACAAGCACCCAGCTTTGGTTTTTTTTTTTTTTTTTTTTTTTCCATATGGATGCCCGGTTATCCCAGAACCATTTGATATGCTGTGTCTGATGTCTACCTGTCTGCCTCATTCTATGTCCTTTTGGTTTGCCTCTTTGTCCTTGGGCCAGCACATGTCTGTCTTACAGGAATTCCTAGCAATCAATGATAGCTGATAGAGCCTGTCCTCACCCTCGTTGTCCTCGTTGTCCCCTCCCTGTTCCAGGACCTCCGCATGGCCTTATTCATCATCCTGTACTACAAAAATTAATCTGTTGGCATATTTACTAGATTGACCATATGAATTAACTTGGAGAGAAATGGCATATTTCCATTATTGAGTCTTCTAACCCATGAAAAATTACCTAACTCCATGTCTTTGCATTTCCTATAATGGCCTGTAGTTTTTAAGAGGTCTTTCACATTCTTTATTAGGTTCATTTCTGGTTTCCTGTCCTTTCAGATGCAATTACAAGTAACTTCTTCATTTTCTCATTGGTTGGTGGTAGTATATCTGAAGTAGTGAATTTTTATATATTGATATTTCCCTGGAAATTTTGCAAAATTCTTAGGTTATTATAAGAGTTCACCTATAGATGCTTACCAGTTTTGTTATACAATTGTGTCTACCAATAAAGAAGCTTTATTTTCTACTCGCAGTTCTGTCCCTTTGTGTTTCTTCCCTTTTGTTTTGAGTAGTGTTCCAGTGCATGTTGGCCAGAATAGAGCTGGAGGACATCATGCCTGGTTCCTGGTCTCAGTAGAAAGCTATCAGCATTTTGAATCATGCTTATTCTTGAGGTTTATAGGTCTTTACTAAAATGAGGATGTTCAAATTGTAGCCAAGTCTGTTAACTTTGAAAAATGGATGTGGAAGTTTATCAGGTTTTTATATTGTTAAAATATGCTATCTTTATTTAACTTATTGTAGAAAAATCTGCATATATGCATATGTGTATGTATATATAGACACACATATATGTATATACATATACATGTATGCACATATACATATGTATACATACATATACATATATATGTAAAGTTTGTGTTAAATAGTCATACAAATCAGACAATTATATACATATGTGCCTGTAGCAAGCTAATCACTTAAGTGGGATAATTTTCTCTTGAGTGACTATGCGAGCAGGTGTTTGTCCATACTCTGTAGCAGTATTATTGGTTTTCTCAGCAGAGCACTGTTTCTGAGCACTGAGTGATATGCCCAGGTCATAGCTAGGGGTGCCAAGCTTGGATTGCTGCGCGGTGTTCATCCTCCCATCCTTAGCACACTTGCTCTTAAGCCGCTGCAGGGCTGCGCTCCTTCCCCGCTCAGCTCATGAGATGCCGTCTGTAACCCTCTGCCCTGCACAGTGACAGTCTGAGCACAGTTATAAGGAAGCAGGAAAGATGAGATGGCAGTTGCTCCTCAAGTTCAGAAACTGAGGGAGGTAGAAGTAGATAGAAGGTGCAAAAAACAAACAAGAATAAGGATGACAGTGATATGAAGTTGTAAGATCAATAATCTGGTGTTTAGAGTTGCATTTTTTCTCTTTTAGGTCTAAAGGAATCACCGACAGCCGGGCCCAGCTGCTCTGGTTCCTGCAGACTTTCCTCTTTGGGGTAGCATCTCTTTCCATCTTGCTCACTTATAGACCGAAGCGTCAAAAACAAAATTAAAAGAAGCTATTCAAAAGCTTTCTCTACAGTTTTACATTCAAACACTTTTTTACGTGCTTTTACTCAGTGATATTTCTACTTTTGCAATGTGTCTGTCCCTCCAAGCTGTGTAGAACTCTGAAGTGTTTCGTTTTCCGTAAGCAGATTGGATGAGGCTTCCAGTGCTGTCAGCTGGGCTGAGACCTGCAGGAGACTTGCTTGTTGAGTTTTCTTTGCTCCTGCCAGTTCATTAATACCTCCCTTCACTACCAGCTCTCCCTCAAATGCTCCCCACCTTTCTGGACCAAGATACAGGATACCTCCACAATACATTAAATTCTTCACACGTTGATTAAGCTTCCGTAAGGCAGCATCTCAGCCTTTCAAATTTCTATTTCTGAAATTGAAAAAAGTAGAGAACCTGGAACGGAGCAGGCTGGACAGTTACCTAGAGGAACGAAAGTCTTGCTGAGAAGTCAGGTGGAGGACAGCCTTCCCGGATGCTGCCAGAAGTGTTCTTTGTACACATGGAGCCACAGTGTGCCTGTGGCTCAGGGCTGTCCTTTGTCACCTGTCCTGTGGTTTTGCTCACAGATGTTCGGTTAGTGTTTATTACTAAGCACACTTTTTGCTTGTTTGTTATCATTCCAATTTTTATTTTTTGTAGTGAAAACTACAAAATTTGTTCCTTGTACTGTCATCTCAGAGACAAGCACAAGACTGTTCCTGACTGTATCCTCTCATTATGAGACTGCTGGTGGGAAACCAGGCTCTTTTCACAGTTGTGTTTTTCCATGACTTTCTCCAGACTGCACATGTCTTCCTCCAGCTGTGAAGGGTCTAGCTCTTGGTTTACCTCCCAAGTTACTGGCTCTTCATTCTGATGGAAATATCTTCCTGCTTCTGGCTGGTTGGAAAGAGAGGGTTGCTGACTGTCCCCTCCCCTGGTGGAAGGACTCTGTCACCCCTGGGGGTATTACTGGGGTTCTTTCTCTAGAGGGCGGATTGCTTGTTCTCAAGACCAGCCCTCATTTCTTCTTCCATGGGTGGGCAAGGGGTATTTATATTAGCAAACATTTATGAGAAACAACTGTCTCTCCCAAAAAGTGCTGTCAGGTAAAACCACAACATAAACGAATATGCACCAGGAGTTGTTTCTGATAGTGTGTGTCTTAGCCTTTCTCTTCACTTGTGATTAATGGGTTCCTTTTCAGTAAAGAAACACATTTTGACCATGGAGTTAAGCATCATGGAAATCAAGCCCAATGTTTAAGGAGTCCTTTCCCAAAAGAAACTATAAAGACTATAATGACTGATAGTCATTTCATGTATCAGGTTACTGAGTGAAACGGGTTAATTTAAATAAAATGCTGTGAGTTGTCTCTCCAATCAAATGCTGCTTTTGTGTTTGTCAATTCTGATATCTGTCATCGTACATTTGATTCCATCTCTCAAAGAGATTCTGTTGTGGGACTGTACAGTTCAAACGTCGGTTTTTCCCTGACACATGCAGAATGCTATACGCTCAGTAAATATGCCTCTTGGGTCTATAGACCTGCCCCAGGCCTACTTAACTCTTTACATACATGGAGTCACTTTTAATTAATGTCCTTTTAATTATAGGACTGTCTTGATTTCATTCAGCATGTGATACAGTGCAAGCAACAAGTGAGGAATGTTCTATCATGTTTTTCAGCCCCAAAATGATAAAATCCTGTATTTTGATTTGGGATCATCTCATCACTAAGACCCAGTAGGGATCTCAAATGGTGGGGGTGTTCCCATTGGAGACCATAACAGGCCTCGCCATGAGGGTGATTTACCCAGCATCACACAGACAGAGGCCAGTGCAGGGCCCTGTGCTCCCTCACAGCCACCCACAAGCTTAGATGCCTGTACAACGAAAAATCTAAGTGGTAGCATCCTGTCTTTGTGTTGCAGTAGTAACCTTGATATTGAGAGGGGGGAAAAAAAAGCTTTTTTATAAACCAACAGTATTCCTTACATTTTCCTAGATTCAGTGTACTTATGACTCAATGCAATTTAAGTCCAAACAGGGTAGTGTTAACTGCCTTGAGTTTAAGAGGTCAGATAGGTAAAATTGTTTAGTAAACAGGTCACATTTCAGAGCCTTTTATGTCTTTATAGTAAGTGTCTGAAAAATGAGGAGAAGCTAGGGAATTTGCAACTGATGGAACAGAATAAGAAAAACGAAGAAATGCAACCCAACATTGACAATCAATGAATCAACAGAAATGCCAACAGTACTTAGGAAAAGACAGTCCCATCACTTAACGGTGTTTGGAAAAAATGGATGTCCAGTCCTAAAGAATGAAATTGATCCCTGACCTCATACTGTTTACAAAAATCAGAATGCATTAAAGGCTTAAATCTAAGGTGTCAAGTACTAAAATAAAATACAAAAGGAAAGTCCTGGAACATTAGATTGGGCAGTGGTTTCAAGGATATAATCCCAAAAGTACAGGCAGCAAAAGCTAAGACAAGTGGGAGTTACATCAAATTAAAATGCTTCTGCACAATAAAGAAAAAGACCAACAGCCTAGAGGCAAGCCTACAGAATGAGAGAAAATATTTGCAAGTCGTACATCTGATAAGAATGAAAGAATAAGATTGAAATCCAAAATACACAAAAATCTGTAATAGTTAATATAGAGCACACATCATCTTCTGTTGCTTTCTCAGGCCATTGACAGGGAGCTGGATCAGAAATGGAGCAGCTGGGACTCAAGTGATACCCATATGAAATGTTGGAGCTCCATAGGTGGAGAACACCATGGCACTGGCCCCAGTGCAAAAAATTTGGAAATCCTATCAACAAGGTAGCTTTTAAAAAGTTCATGGGACATGCATACTAGAAAAAAAACTACAAGGCATAGAGAGCTGTTCCTGTTATGTTGAGGGAAGGCAGAAGGCTCCGTAATGACATGTTCTCAGGGCTGTGGTTTCTGAAACCCACCAAGCATTTGAATCTCCCAGGAACTTCCATAAAATGGCAGATTTCTGAGATTGAATCCACAGCCTCCATAATGGAACCCACATAATGAGTCATCCCAGGCAGTTGTGTGACGGGCCTGGCAAGGTGGCACAAGCACTCTGTTCCTAGGACAAGGCGGGCTGCACTGTGCCGGGGGCTAGCTTCATCCAAAGCATTTGCTAAGTTGGTGAAGAGCTGCTTGGACCCCAGGCTCTTTGAAGCTGGTTACCTGTATTTGCCTGAACAAACCCTTGGTTCTAGGTTGGGGACACTGTGAAAACAACCTCACCGTACAGGTTGCCAGATGAGAGGGGACTATAACCTCCATGGACCCATATCCAGAGCTCTTCTTCTCTGTAATTCCTGAATGCTATGACAACATCACTTTACCAAATCAATTTCCCAGCATTCCAGTCCAGGCCCCTGGATGACTAATCTTTTCATGGTTAATCGGGGGAAAAGTTTCCTAATTCCCAGCAGTTTGTGAAATATAGGCCCTTACACAATACCAAGCCCATGACCTTCCAGATCAGTGGCTCTGCTGTGATGCATGTCCCAATCCCAGGTGCTGGCAAGGTGTCTGGCAGCCATAGACAAGGTGAGTTGTCTGGGCCCAGGTGGGAAGCACATAGGGCAGATGTGAACGCTAAACCCTGATCTGGTGCTCTGAATCCCCATCCAGTGGTACAGACATGACTTCAAGTAACAGCAGCAGAGCTGTAGGGCACCTAACAGAAAGTCACATGGGAACAGGCCACTGCAGTGCCAGGTGCCAGGTGCCAGGGATCCAGCGTGAAGCCCTGCTCTGAATGTTGCAGACTTCAAGAATTGTCTTCAGCCCAGTAGGCACAGGGAACAGATGGCAGCCTCCACTAGCTGTTGTCTCCATGTTGTCCATAGGAAAACTCCAGCTAACAGATTTTTAAGTTGGCCATTGCCACTTACCCAGACTGCTCTCTTACAACACTCAGGGATAGCAGATCAGCACCTCACCATTAGGAGAGGATTTTGCCAAATAACATAAATAACATAACTTTGCTCCTAAAACATGTCCTGCGGTCCATGAACATCTTATATGAGCAATAGTTTAAGTTCTGGCTGCTCTACTTTCAATCCAACCTCCTGCTAATATGCCTGAGAAAGCAGCAGAAGATAGCCCATGTCCTTGGGCCACTTCACTGTAGTGGGAGACTTGGAAGAAGCTCCTAGCTTTGAACTGACCTAGCTTTGATCATTGAAGCTATTTGGAGAATGAACCAGCAGGGGGAAGATGTTACTCTCTATATATCTCTCTATCTCTCTGTAAATCTGCCTTTCAAATAAGAATAAATTTAAAAAAGAAAATACGCTGCCTGCAACCCCAAACTTCTGTCTTCAGAGTGGCTTCACTGCACCCACTGTGTTAGAGACAGAGTTGTCAATCACTGTGTGTGCCTTAGATCAGGAAAAATGCCTGGCCTCAGAGACAGAAAACAACATAGGGACCAGAAGGATGCCTGAATCCGTCCTTTCCCTCTAGTTCTGGGTCCTGGAAAACTGTCCTTTCTGTCTTTGGACTCTCAGGAGTCTTTGGGTTCATTCCATTTTCTCTCACGCTCACCTGCTTGGGGCCTGTTGCTTGGCAGTGCTAGGAAATGAGTAGTAGGAGGTGTTTTCCATTCCAGATGGAAGTCAGAGTAGTGGCTGGGATTTCATCTACAGAGAGCTGCCCTGAAAGGACTGTCAGGATTGGGAAATAAACAATCCCTACCCATCTCAGTGCTCCCAGAAAAGTGGGCCAGCTGGGCTGATGCAGGAGAGAGTCAGGAATACACAGCATATTCCCTGGCTGGAGGGGCAAGGGTTCTTGAGCTCCCAGAACAGGCATAGGAGGCTCCAGTGAGAGAGAGATATAGCAGGAGGGTGCAGCCCAGGCACGGCAAACAGAAGGAGCCTTCGTAGAGGCTGGGAGGAGCTAAGTTCATCCTGCACATCCCTAACAGAAAAGGCAGTCATTCCCTGCTGGAACCCGATGCCTGTGACCACCTTGTCTACACTGCATT